TCCGAGTCCATAAAAAAAAACAGTTTTTTTTTAAAACTAAATAAATGTTCTTCAGGAAAAAAATTGTCGAGCTAGAATTATTTTATTCTAGTCTGCCGAAAAATAGACAAAAAAATTTCAATATAATCGAAAGAATTTTAAGAAACCCGGTGTGTACTTTTACATGGTTGACCCACACTGGAAATTTTTTAGTATAAATATAACTAAATAAATAGAATTATTGAGGAATCCTTGATTATGTCCTTTAAGGACATTCGATCATTTGAAAGGTACTGAGCCACAGATCATAAATACGTTACCCGTTTTTTAATAGTCCACTGGGTTCAGAAGTTATTCGCATTCAATTTTTATAATAAAAATTGAAATATAACTCTTTTTTTAAATTTTTATAATAAAAAATAACTGTACCTATTCGCATTCAATTTTTATAATAAAAATTGAAATATAACTCTTTTTTTAAATTTTTGTAATAAAAAATAACTGTACCCTTGCACGCTTCGCTGTGGCATATTGTGGTATGCCACATTGAAGAAATAAGAAATAAACAAGAAAGGAAAGCTAACTTCGGGGAGATAGCCGAAGTTGATATACCCTTGCAGTTAAAACCGTATATCTATCGCAAACATCGGATATAGTTGGCCGATCCTTATGGGAATATGAATATATAATCCAATTTATTACAATACAAAATCTAAAAAAAGTCCCAAACTTCTATCTTCAAAAATACCAAAGTTGGTATTTCTACCAAAAAACATTGTCGATCGTTCAGTTATATGGCAGCTATAGTTGGCCGATCCTTATGAAGTTGACTAGGTCGGATTATCTGACCAAAAATATAATCAGTACTAAGTTACAGTTTTCTATATTCAAAAACACGAAAGTTGGGTAATTTCCGATCGTTCAGTTATATGACAGCTATAAGATATAGTCGGCCGATCCTTATGAAATTTGGCATGTCGTAATGTTTTGCCAAATAGCTCTCATGTCAAATTTTAACTCTCTAACTCTAAAAACACCGAAGTTATACCATCGCTCATATCAACTCAGGAGGTGATCCTGATCATTAATATATATACTTTGTTGGGTTGGAGATGTCTCCTTCACTGCGTTGCACACTTGTGGACAAAATTATAATACCCTCTGCAAGGGTATAAAAAGAATAATTTTCAAATTCATTTAATTCTGTAATAATTGTGGGTATACAATATTCTTCGTTTTTCCATTCTCCGCGTAAATATAAAGACATTCTGGTTTTCCGACGCGGTAACACGCAACATATAATTGTCCGTGTGAAAAACAATCTGCGTCCAAATCTAGACCACACAACTCCAGAGATTGACCTTCAGCTTTATTAATGGTCATTGCGAACGCCAAACGAATGGGAAACTACAATCTCTTGAACTGGAACGGTGTATCAGTCGGGATCAGAGGAATCCTAGGAATGAGGACATCTTCACCCTTGAAAGGACCAGTTATGATCGTTGCTTCTACTACGTTCATCAATTTCTTGACTGCGAGTTGCGTAACGTTGCAGAGTTCCGGTTGATTTATATTCATATATTCCGGAGCATGATAATCGGCACACCTATTTTTAATTTCAATATGTGTGGTGGCATTCCAGGCAGATCAAGTGAGATTAGAAATTCCGTAGGGTAATTAACTGCTTCCGTGGCATGACGTCAAGGGTCTGACCGATCCCCCTGCCGAGACGTTAAGGGCCTGGCCGATCCCCCTGCCGAGACGTTAATGGCCTGGCCGATCCTGCCGAGACGTGCAATGCCCGGCTCATCCCCGTGCCTCATCATCATAAAAATTTAAAAATAATTCTTATTCTTAATTATTATTATAAAAATTGAAAATAAGAGTTATATTTAGATTTTAACAATAGAAATCGAAATAAAAGTTTATTGTGTTTCCGGATTCACCGTTAAAAATAGGTATATGTGTCCTTTTCCCACTCCCCGCAAAGGCTTTTGTGTGGTTCAATTTGTTTGAACTCATAAGTCTTATTTGCAGTCCCCGGTTAATGCAGAAAAATCCTGTATTTAAAAGAGCGTTTTCCAAGATGCCTCCTCTGGCATCAAGCGTGTTGTTACCCGAAATACTAGATATGGTATTAAAATCGCCACCTATAATAGCAGTACCGTTCAGTTCAGACGCAATAGAAAATAAATTCTTTTGAACAAGATTCCAAAGATCTGTGTCAGGATTGGGTGCGGTATAGATACTAAAAATGTTTATGTTGTTTTATAGATTGGTTGTACAGACACCAGCTGCTTCAATATTAATTTAATTTTCCTAAAACGTATATGTTTTTTTAAATAAATTCCAACGCCTCCATACCCGTCGGCACGAGCATGATACAATTATACATAATAATTGTATCATGGTACTGTTCCAAATCAAAGTAAAACGAATACTGTGTTACTCCATTTGAAAATTATACTTTAATTTTACTTTTACCTTTTTAGGGGGTACACAAATAAGCACATTTTAAAAACAACAATTTCTACAATTGACACCAACAAACACTTAGTACTAGAGGTTCAGCAACATCGAGGTTTAAACACAGCGATGTTTTCGATATTTTTCAAGCATCGATGACAATCATCGATTTTTTTTTTAAATTTAAGTAAAAATTTTTAAAATGATTGATATACACATTCATGGTTGTATTAAAAATAAAAAAAACAAAATATTTTTTGTGCTTTATGCACTAACTTAAAATATAGATAATTTGAGATCAAAACCGTCTTTAAAATAGTCCAATGGACAATGATCAATGGTCAACAGTCAAAAAATTGTGGTTTTTGTTAATAAACATAAGTTTATCAACAATATCGGGCTTCAGGCGAGTCCTGCGGACAGAAATTATTTGCCCAGCATTGCTAAAGGCCCTTCCTGACTCGCAGGATATGGCAGGCACACACAAATATTGTTTTGCGATTTCTTTGAAGGGCGTTCAAAGATTCTTGAAAGTATAATTATATACGTACCATATAGTATAAAATACGAAAGTATAGTATATAATTCCTGAAAGAATCTTACCTTCCAATATTGTAACGGCTCGCAGACTTTCGGCTCGGTTATTGATTCAGATCGCGGTGTTGTGTTTTGAGCTTGCAATTTTGTTTGCAAATGTTTAAAAAAGCTCGAAGGCTCCGACTCGAAGGCATTTTCGACGCAGAAAACTTAACTCAAACTTCAATTAAAATTTCTTAAACTTAATAACTTAACCGCTCGTTCCAGCGGGTTCCACTGCTGGAACCCGCCATAGAAAATTTTTCTTTGTATGAGATGTCCCATCTATGTACTGTATAATCTTTGGTTCGAGTTATGTTTCCGGTTATGTTTTTCGAGTTATGTAAGGCATCGCCGCAGGATGGAAAATTTCGACACTTTTACCAGACTCTATCTTAGGGTAAGTTATTTTTAAGACCCTAAAGAATTTTATCAGATGTCCCCCCTTAAGCCTTAAAATTTAAGGTAACGACGTTGTTAGATCCTTTTTTTAAGGACTTTTAAAAAATGGCTTTTGGCCACAAAAAGTGGTCGGTGGCCCTATAGTGGGACGTAACGGGAATGCAAAGCTGCTTGTCAGCCCTTGAAGAATTAAGTGTGGGAGATTACTCGATGCTTATCTAAAATTCAACACATAATCGATCGAAATACTTATATATAACACATAAAAAATACCTTTTTTTAAAAAGCGATCCATATCGATTTTATTGTTTTTATTAGAACAACCAGGACACAAATATAATTTTTTTTAGCAATGTGAGACGCCAACTATGATGTCTCCATTCAACAACTATTAAAGGTGTCTGCTGCTATCGGTGGTGGCAGCCAATCATCGATAGTATTTTTAGAGAACACAGGGTTTTTCTTACACTTTCTTACCTTTTTTAAATTTAAACAGGAAAATACGAAATTCGTATGAATTTGTATTACCTGATATAAAAATTTCCCGCTAATTTATTTAAAAAAACTAGTGTGACCAGGAATTTTATACCTAGGGGATTCCCTACCTTGGAATGCATTACCTGGTCACACCCAAACATTGGAGGAAATTTTTTACGTTATACATCTTACATTTTACATTTACATTACTCGAGTAGAATTATTATGCTTTCAATTTGAAAGTTTGAAATCGTTAACCGTTTCGACACAGCGTTTTGTGGGCAACTTTAGAAGTTTCATATTTAATCTAGGGAATTAAAAAAATATATTTGTTGACGTGTGTCTAACATATTATAAATATATTATTGACGCGTGTATATATTACTAGAATCAATTTTATTTATATTATTGAGGATTTAAGTTTATTTTAGTAAGAACTTAAATTCTTTGGAAACTTCTTTTTTGGCAAAGAAACAACGCACCTAGTATAATATGTTAAAAATAAAATTTATCTGCAGAAATTTAACCCTAAATTAAATACTTATAAAGTTTATTAACAACTAAAGGAATAAGTTTATCAAATAAATTTAGTTTTAGTTTCTGTAACTTACACTTCTAGTTTCTTAAAAAATATAACAAAGGCCACTGATGTCTTATGGCTTTATAACTTTGTTGGTTAGATTTATATTCGTATTCTTCTTGGATGAATCACACTTCCTTCTGTAATATAAACATGTTTTCGCACGGTTTGAAATCTCCAATCACCATTACTGCACAGTAGCCTAACAAAACAAAGAATTTTATCTGGCAGATGCCAAAGATATTCCACAACCGGAAAGGTCCCCGATAAGATTGTATATATTTTAAAAAGCCCGTGACGTCACTGCATGAAATGGCAACTTTTTCCCAACTACAGGCGAGAACCAGCTTTTTTTTTTTTATGTATATCTATATCTATCTTAGATAGCCCCCGAAGTGGGCTTAGCACCGGTAATTGCCATACAAACAGTGAACAATGTAAATCAGTTCAATCGTGGTTGGGATGCTGAGATAAGGAGACGGCCGTGTGTTTTTAATGGCGTATATAAGTCCCGCACCACAGCGGTTCTGGCAATTAGTCTCGACCAAACCCCAACGACTGAGCTTCCCGCAATCTCAGAGCACAAATCCAAAATCTAACAATGAAATTCGCAATTGTTCTATTGGTAGCCAGCATTGTTTGCGTTAGCAGCCAGGTGAGCCGGAGGAGAATTATTTGTGTAAAAAAGGAAGCTAAATAATCTCATTAAACAGGCTTCACCGTCGGGTGGCATCAACCCGTTCGCCGCTGCCAATCCCTACGCGGCCGCCTTTAATCCCTTCCTGAATGGAGTATTCGGCGGAGCCGGCACCGGAGCCGCAGCTGGTGTTGCTGGCCCAGTGGCACCTGTTCCTCCCTTCGGTGGCGCCTCAATTTCCACCTTCTTCCAGTCGGTGGTGATCCAGCGCGAAGCCGAACGCCTGCTGGCCCAGCCCGACTTCCCCGCCGATCTGTCCGAGCGCGTCCAGGATGTGGTGGCCAACTCTCAGGAGGCCATTGCCAACTGCAACAACGCCACCTTGCCCTGGCTCCAGATCCGCTGTGTGAAGCCCCTGCTGACCAGTGCCAAGAGCCAGCTGAAGACCATCGACGACGAGTGGCAGGCGCGCCTTGCCGCTGCTGCCACCACCGCTGCTCCGGTTGTTGCATAGAAGATTGCTGCACCACCACTTGCCCTCTCCACTTCCTGATCCTGCTGTTTAACATCCGATATTATCTTTGACTAGCTAGCGGCGACCATCGACCAACAGAGATGCAATAAAATTTAAATAAGCTCAATGCAGGAATTCCCTTTTCCTTTGTGTGTGTCCTGGGTGGGAGTGTCCTGACCTACGCCAGGACAGGCTTTGATGTGGCTGGCCGAGCTTTGCATTCCGGCGCTTTATTAAATTTCCCATCGAGAATTACAAATTTTGATGTTGCCTCCTTGACTTGCCCTTGCTTTTCCGGGAGATTTTTGGTGGGTGGCGCAAATACTTGACTGCTCACGTCACCACATAGAATGTGCCAGTTATGGGTTAACAAGATGGCCAAAATAAAAGGCTAGAGCCAGTATTAGTTAGGGTTTTCGAATGTAACTCATAAATAGAATTTGATAAGTTGGAAGGAAAAAACGAGAATGAATTTATAAGATGGTAAGCACTGAATTTCTTATAAAAACATTTTCATAAGACAGAACTTAACTTTCAGCTGTATTTAATAGAAAATAGTATGAGAAAAAGGCTAAAACCGGTCACCACTACCTCCGCATACTTGAGTCGATCTGGGCATCGCAGGAACATGACGCATTTTCCCCAAATATTTGCTCTACGTTTGACTTTGCCCTCCTCCACTTTGGAAGGGTTATGACAGCCCTTTTATTTATCCTCCGATTGGCACTGGCGAATTGTTTCCAGTGCATGATTTGGCTCCCAATTGGCCCTCTGCGAGGGTGGAGACCGCTCAGTGAATTGCAGCGCCAATGTTGATTTATGTGGCAGGGCAGCTTCAATTATCCAACAATGTCCTCCCAACGTCCTGCCATTTCAATTCGATTCGATTCGATTTGATATGGCATTTGCATATGAATCAAATCCGAATGCCAAGCCAGGGCCTCTGGTTATTAAATGGCCTGCCCTGACGAGTCAGAGACTGGCCATAAATGGCGGAGTGCCGGATAAGCCAGCTACTGGCTGTTTGGATTTAAATTCAGATTCAAATATGTAATTAAATGTAAATTTCAAACACACGCACAAGACACACAGTACCCCCGGAGCCTGGAAGGAGAGCAAAGTTGGAGCCACTTAATTGAAATATTTCAAGATTGAAACTTGAGAAACAGTGTTGTCATTATTACAACAACCAGCCGTAGCAGGAGCGCCGCAACTTTGAAAAGTTCCGTTTAGTGTTAGCCGCGAGCCTTTCAAAATACCCCGCCCCTACAGGCCCAACCTAAAACCAACCTCCCCCAAAACTAAAACCAAACTCAGCCACCCCTAAGCCCTGTTTTGGTAATGCAAAAGTTGCGGCATTTGAAATTCACGCAGCAAAAAATGGTACTGCCGAGGCACAAAATAAAATCTCGCCGCATTCGGGCTGCCCAACTAAATATATATGTACATGGGAAGGTGTGTGTATATCCAGTCCAGAATTGGTTGGCCAAAACAAAAAGAGAAAGGCAGTGGGAACGGGGACCGGGAAAGCTCTGAAAGTGCATGTATGTAAATTTGTTTTGGGTTTGCGGCTTTTGTTTTTATGCAAAAGTTGTGAGTGTCCCCCAAAGTAGGCAACACAATTTCTGCGGCTTTTCCCTCTGCCAGAGTTCGTTAGTTCACTCCGTAAAATCGGTTTAAAATCAGTGCAGATCCAAATCGAATGGTGATGAATCACCGCCTGACCTGTTGGTGTTTATCGCCGGTTTGCGTTTAACACCCTATGAGCCACTTGGCTACTGTTGTTTGATCTTCAGGTGCCACTTCCGTTGGGCGCCGATAAGAAAGTTATCTAAATACGCCCAGAATATATGGCTTACAACATAAAACATAATTAGGTTGAGGCTATCGAGCTTTGTTGCATCTCTAGATAACACAGATAATGGAGGCTGTAAACTATATCGGGGTACAAACAAGATAAAGCCCGAGGAGGGCTAAACAAAATCTTCGGAATTGTACTTCAGTCAACGAGTTAAGGCTTTCAGAAAATGTCTGCTTCCACGGTGATCGCATTGTGCCTCTTGGCTGTACTGGTGGGTTTTCAAAATATTATAGTTGGACTAACTCTTAACTCTTGTTTTTCGTCCAGACTGTGTATACCTATGGTCAGAGTTCCCCCACGGATTTGGCCCTCCGATGGGCCCAGGAGGAAGTGAACACCTTTGAACTTATCGCCCGAGAAAAGCTACCTCCAACAAACGCAGCTCAAAGTGAAGCAAATGATTTGGTGGATTCGTTGAAAATGGCAGTTTCGCACTGCAATATTGCACTTCAATCCAGTGGAAACTTGACCCAGCACGAGGCCTGTGTTAAGTCTGTGACAACTTTTGCGAAGTCATCTTTAGGGGAGTTGGCCAGCGAGCATTGGGCCGTTTATGGAGCAAGCTCCGGGGCATCGCGAATCCATTTGTTTTGGTAGATTTTCAAAATTAATGAAATTTATAAGCCATTGGTTTTAGGACAATTTTGTTAATCAAATCGAAGTTGTCATCAGAATAATCAGTTTAAACATTCAAAATAAACTAAATGTTATTATAGTTTGTTTTTCTGTGGGTCGAGTTTAAAAGAATTTAATAGCTTTTTGTGATATTCTGAAGTTTTTTGGAATATAAACCTATTAAAAACACATACACACACTGTATACAATGAGTTGGCTGTCTTTAATTTGTTTTACATCTATTATGCCATTTCTGGTGATTTGGGCCTCACCTCCGCAATGGGACCGCCTGGCGTTGGAAATGGCCGCGGAAAAGAACATTACCACTGAGTGGCGCATCCAGGAGGCATGGAAGGCAACCATTGCATCGGATACACAACTACATGAGTACTACAATGAAATGAAAAACACAGAGAAGGAGAAGGCCGAACGCGTTTTGAGACATGCCTACGATGAGGTGAACAGGTGTGTGTACGAGTTCTACATGGGATGGCCGATGGAGAGGTTCACCGATTGCATGAGGCATGCCACCAGCATTCACCTGACCAGGTTGAAGAACATCCGGAAAGCTACCGACTACTTAGCCAAGCGGGCGGCTAGCGGAGCGAGCAGACTTAAAATCTGGCACTGAATTGGAAGGCTATGGAATTGGCTCCTGGTTTCGGTTTCCCCAATCGCTGGCGGGCGACAAGTCTGTTTTCTTTGTGCCCTCGCCCCTGTACTACTGTGGCCTGTACTACTTTAATTAGACAGTCAACTCGGGACTCGTGAGTGCAGTCTCATCTCTCTGTCTGGGAGGTTGGTGTGGATGCTATAGTGGGTTGGGATAGTGGGCGGCTCCTGCTCAGAGCCAGTCTAGTGCTCATTAGGCAAATGTGCGCCAGTGGGCGGGTTGGGGCACGAACTGTTTCGTAATTATAATCATTAGACGCGAGACAAAACAGGCACAAAGCAAATAGCGACATTAGCTGCGTGGAAATGTGTGTCAATGAAGATGAATCGGGCCGGCGTCCTGGGCCCAGGCACTCTGCCGTGGTAGGGCGCTCCTTGACGAGGCAGAAATGAGCGAGTTTTGAGGCGCTGGCTAATGAGAATTCTTGGTGTGAGTGTCGAAAATATGCAAATTTTCATTTGAAGGTTCAATAGTTTGGCACAGCTTTCATTGCTCATTCGAAGGATTACAGACAGTAGAACAATATTGATTGTGATTTAATTAAACTGAACCTATAGTTATTAAATGAGTATCTTTCTAATCTGCTACCTTTGGGGTTTTTAAAAATAGTTTTTTAAAAATAAATTTTCTTCGAAAACTAAATTTTTGATTTTATTTTTTTTTTTACATTTTTGCATCAATTTATGATGGTTGCACCTCTCGTTTTATTTCGTATTTTTGTGCCTCTTGTAGGCATTGCTTTAGTATTTTGGTTTCTGGCTTAAGCCTTTGATTCTGCCTCAGATGTGGTTTCCGTATCGGAGGCAGGCGCATCCGGTTTGGGCTCATCCGTGTTGCCGCACACACACATGGGACACTGTCAGGACCAAATGAAAATGAAAATGCATATTAAAGTATATAGGGACTCATTCAGGATCTCACCTTTTCCTTCAGCACAAGGCGGTACTTGGGATGGCTGGGTTGGAAGAATGGGAAAATATTTATTTTTGGTAAACTAAACTATGTAATCAATATTCAGGATTTGGATAGCCCATTACTTATATGACATTAAGGTAAAAAATATGAAAACTCGAGACTCGTACTTACCTAATTCCATATACTATAGGATTGTAAACCGCGCTCGTCTTGGCGAAAGTGGCTCCCCAAATAGTAGTCAGAGGCGTAAGGCCGTCGATTTTAAACAATCCAAAGTAGCAGATGACCAGATACGGCGTCCAGGCCATAAACCACAAGGAAATGGTGGTCAAGGCGACCTTGGCCAGTTTTCCCTCGGCGCTTTTGTCGCAGTCCTCAGAGCTGCGCAACGATTTCACATTCATCTTCTTGGCCTGCTCCCTCATGGCCTTTTCGTGGGCGGCCACGGCGGCGATAATGAACCAATATGAATAGCAGATCATAAACAACGGGGTGTAGTAGACGAAAAGCGAGTACGTTATCAGGTAGGATCGCGGGTTCCACTGGCGCGTCATATAGTCGATGCTGCAGGCAGTCAGATTTCCCTCCGGCACGTAGCTACTCCAACCCAGAAGAGGCATTATGGTCCAGAAAACAGCCATCAGCCAGATGAAGAGGATTTTCATAATGGCCAGTTTGATGGTCATGGGTGTGCCGTTGATGCCCTTTACAATCACATTGTATCGATCAAAGGCAATCATGCACATAGACCAGATAGAAACGCATCCAAACAAGGAGCCGCAGGCCGCATAGATGTCACACCACAACGGCCCCAGGACCCAGGTTTCGTAGTAGAAGTTGATGATCATCACCGGGGACTGGGAGGCCATCATGCAGAAATCGGAAAAGGCCAGATTCAGGACCAAAAGATTGGCCGGCGTGCGCAGCGACTTGGTTCCGCCGAAGATGTAAACCACCACTCCGTTGCCGCAGCAGGATATAATCAGGATGCACAGGGTGAACAGGCCGAGGATTTTGCTCATGGTAGGGTCCATCGGGGCGAAGCGACTCCAGTAGGGATTTACCAGGTGTGCCATGTCGGGCAGCACCTGTCGGCAAATTTCAAAAATATGTTTATGTTACACTTTGATTTCAATAATTTTTAATTTCAATTCTAAAAAAACTCATTTAAGAATTTTAGATGGATTTGGGATTATTTGAAATTTATTGTTTAAATAATAATGAGAGTATCCACAGGTCACAGGTGCAGATATAGAATAATCTTAATTATTAATTTATTTAATTTGATTTAAGTCAAACCACACTGAAAATTTTACAAATCCAATGACACAAATGAAATTGTCACCTGAATAAAAATTGTAATTAATAATCGATGGGGAGCTATATGGATTGTGGTTTTCTTGAGGGCTTTTCACGGTCATTGGGTCATTTCACTAGTCTTCAGTAACTCACATTGTCCAGCACGGATCCATTGCCGCCCGACTGGGCCTGAAACCTGGGCCCGGAAAGGGCCAAAGTCAATGGCGTCTCTGGAAAATGAGTGCTCTCCATGCTCAGCTACCGGCAACTCGCCCTGCCGCGACTCGATTGCTCATCGAACTGTGTGGGAACTCGAGAGCCCGACTTGAATGGCCTGCTTTTATAGGCCTTTTCTAAGCCAATTAGACGGGATGGTAAATCAGTAACCGAGACAAGCGGACAGCTGCCAGATAAAAGTCATGTTTATTTTCAACCCACCGATTTACGTTATAATTTGTTTGCGACATACTATGATCGAAGGTCAAGGGCGCTGTGTAGTCAACCAATATGTAACCGAAAGTTCAAAGCGCTGCAAGGAATTTCTGACCGCATTTTTGGCACAACTTTCGCTGCGTACCACGAGGTTGTTGGTTGCAATGAATGGTGTTGTCCATGTTGCTGGTTTTGATGTCGGAACATGCCACCGCTCCAGGCTGGTAGGTCGAGTTTTGGGAGACGTTCGTATACGAGGAGCACGGAGCCACTTGTCCGCCAGAGGACCTCGATTCCGGGGTGACGATGTACGTCCCACTGTCTTTGGTGGTCCCCTTCTTTGCGGCCCGGCTCTCCCGGGATCCCTCATAGTCAGTGGTGTCTCCCGATGTCTTGAGTGCCTTTCCGACGGCGGTCGCCGCTTTTTTGGCATTTGAATCGTTGGGGGCGGCGGCAAAGTAAAGATCATCATTGGAGCTGGGCAGCTCGTACCTAAAAATATCCACCTTTTGGCTGAGAATCAGCTGCTTGCAGCAATCCTTGATCTGGTAATAAGCGGTCCGGAAGTTTCTCAGCTTTCGAGTCTACGGAAGTTTAGCTTAACGGTTGGCTTATTCCCAATTTCGTTTCCAACTTACCGGGGAAAGCGAGTATATCACGGCTGGTTGACCGTTTTTACCGAAAGCACTCAGCATCAATATTTCGCAGTTCTTCTCAAAAGCGCGGTTCACTCCTCCCCAGTATAGCAGTTCCTTGTACACAGCCTCGTCCATGGCCACCACGTAGTCGAAGTAATGAAAGTCGTTCACAGCAAACTGGAAGATAATCTATAGAGACCTCTTCACATGAACTGATCTTTCCACTCACCTGGCGACAGAAGTGATCGGATCGCAGGCCGTGCTCACGCAACGTTTGAAGGCAGCGCTTGTGGGGCTTGCGACCCGTGTTCCAGGTCCTCAGGCCGGCACTGTCAACCTCCCAATAGAGGCTAGTTTTGACCATTAAATTCTGCATAATGGCCTCAGCCATGGGGGAGCTGCATGAATTGCCTATATCAACAAGATTAAAGATTCTTTGAAAACCGCTAAACTCTTTAAATATGTAGCTTACCCATGCACACAAACAGCAGCTTCTTAAAGGACATCGTTTTTACGTTTTTCAGGTATCGGGTTCGATAAGTTACAAGCTTCGAACTATATCTAATAAATAGCAATTTACAAACCTACAATTTTTATAATTTATACACGACGTTTTGCCAGATTTAGTTATATTAGAATGAATTTTTGAAAGTGACCGCACCTTCATGTCCGGACCCGAATGGCTGAGACTACTGAGTTTAAAGTTTAAACTGACTTATCGACCCGGTGGCCTGCTTAGGTTAACTATCGTCAAACCCTCCGCTAGAGTTGCATTAAATGACCATTTCCTTAGATTATCATCTGCACTAATGTACTTTTTACAGCACTCGCTCTGCCCGGCCCACCCACTAGATTGAGGTACCTGGGTGGCGACAAACAATAGGGTTTGGCCCAGGACTTGTTGGCCACGCCCAAGTTGCACCACCTCCTTGGTGCAAGGACCCGTGGGGTAGATAGTGTCACGTGTCTGTCAGGTGGTGGCCACTTCGGTTCACGATCTGAATTCGAAATTAGTCAACAAGTTCAGCGAACTGCCGGCGAGCCAGGACGGTGAATTGAAAGCGCCAAGTGTCTAACCCCATACCCGTAAGCTAAGCGCCTTAGAAACATGCACTTTGAAGAAAATTTTATTTAAATTCAAATCCACTTCCAGCACTTTAAATAGAGTTTGTAAATTCAAAAGAAAAACTATGCATTTTGTTTATTAGAAGTGTTAAAAACATAACACTTCAGTGAATATAACCAGAAAAGGTGTTACTTTGTTTATTGAGATTTGGCCCATAGAGTTCGTTAGAGCTAATCCTTATCAAATGGCTGCTATCAAGCTTTTAATAAAAAATTTTTTTCCTTGTGTAAACATGATTGGCGCAATCCGCTTTTATTCAGATGTCGTGTCATAAAGCTAGGACGACCTGCAAACAATGCAGCTAGAATTCATTTTATTTCAGTCTCAATTAAGCGAGTTCCTGTGTGGACGAGTCCATTTTGAACACTTCAAAGGGTGTATATTGGTTATACCGCCATTTTTTACCTTTCCGTCCATCGGTGGGAACGGGGCGGGCTTGTAACTTGGCCACTGGCAATATCCAATTGGAATTGCATTGAACGACTAAATTGAAAATGCAGCTGAAAAAGCATATTTCACTTATCACTTTTCACACAAAACACACAAGCAAGCGAGCAAAGGCCAAAACAAAGCACTCTGGCCAGGCCAGAGCCAGAGTCAGAGTCAGAGCCAGAGCCGGAGGGACTGAAACAAAAAGCGGGTAAAATGAAATTGTAAGCGCAAAAGTAAAGCACAGCAGCAACAGGAACGGAAGCGACACCAGCAACATGCTGCAGTTGCAGCAACAGCAACAAGTCACTCAGTCACTGGGTGAGTGGGAAATAATATGTGAGCCTGCATCGCCGGTTCGGTAGTGGAGGCGGTGGGTAAAACGAAGGTGGAAAGCGGGTTAGATGCCGGACGGAAGTGTGGCTCTGGCATTGCATTGTTGTTTTAATTAAAAACAAACCTCCCGAGCTGTTGGCCCCGACAAAAACAGAGCGCCAGACAGAAAAAGTACGGCCAAAGTGAGCAACCTGAGAGGCTAAATGGAGGAGGAAGTGTTGAATATTTAGTGCAAAGCATATAGCAGAAATTTCAGAAAAAAAACAACATCCAAATGCAACAACGGCAACGGCAAAAAATGTAACACGAAAACCGCTCACAGGAAGAAAACCCAGAGGATATGTGAACTGTATCCTTTGGCTCGTACATATGTAAGTGTTGCCGCTTATGTCTTCCTTGTTATACCCTTGCAGAGGGTATTATAATTTTGTCCAAAAGTGTGCAACGCAGTGAAGGAGACATCTCCGACCCTATAAAGTATATATATTCTTGATCAGGATCACCTCCTGAGTTGATATGAGCATGTCCGTCTGTCCGTCTGTCCGTCTGTCCGTCTGTCTGTTTCTACGCAAACTAGTCTCTCAGTTTTAAAGCTATCGTCTTGAAACTTTGCACACACCCTTCTTTCCTTTGCACGCAGTATATAAGTCGGAACGGCCGGGATCGGCCGACTATATCCTATAACTGCCATATAACTGATTGATCGGAAATGGTATAACTTTGGTGTTTTTAGAGTTAGAGAGTTCAAATTTGACATGAGAGCTATTTTTGGCAAAATAATACGACATGCCAAATTTCATAAGGATCGGCCGACTATATCCTATAGCTGCCATATAACTCAACGATCGGAAATGACCCAACTTTCGTGTTTTTGAAGATAGAAAGCTGGAATTTAGTACAGACTCTATTTTTGGTTAGTTGATCCAACCTACCAAATTTCATTAGGATCGGCCGACTATATCCTATAGCTGCCATATAACTGAACGATCGGAAATGACCCAACTTTTGTGTTTTTGAAGATAGAAAGCTGGAACTTGGTACAGATTATATTTTGATCCATCCTACCAAATTTAATAAGGATCGGCCAACTATATCCGATGTTTGCGATATATATCCGGTTTTAGCTGCAAGGGTATATAAACTTCGGCTCCGCCCGAAGTTAGCTTTCCTTTCTTGTTTTTATTATACCCTTGCAGAGGGTATTATAATTTTGTCCAAAAGTGTGCAACGCAGTGAAGGAGACATCTCCGACCCTATAAAGTATATATATTCTTGATCAGGATCACCTCCTGAGTTGATATGAGCATGTCCGTCTGTCCGTCTGTCCGTCTGTCCGTCTGTCTGTCTGTCTGTCTGTCCGTTTCTACGCGAACTAGTCTCTCAGTTTTAAAGCTATCGACTTGCAACTTTGCACACACCCTTCTTTCCTTTGCACGCAGTATATAAGTCGGAACGACCGGGATCGGTCGACTATATCCTATAGCTGCCATATAACTGATTGATCGGAAATGGTATAACTTTGGTGTTTTTAGAGTTAGAAAGTTCTAATTTAACATGAGAGCTATTTTTGGCAAAACAATACGACGTGCCAAATTTCATAAGGATCGGCCGACTATATCCTATAGCTGTCATATAACTGAACGATCGGAAATTAGCTTTCCTTTCTTGTTATACCCTTGCAGAGGGTATTATAATTTTGGTCAAAAGTGTGCAACGCAGTGAAGGAGACATCTCAGACCCTATAAAGTATATATATTCTTGATCAGGATCACCTCCTGAGTTGATATGAGCATGTCCGTCTGTCCGTCTGTCCGTCTGTCTGTCCGTCTGTCTGTCCGTCTGTCTGTCCGTCTGTCTGTCCGTCTGTCTGTCCGTCTGTCTGTTTCTACGCAAACTAGTCTCTCAGTTTTAAAGCTATCGTCTTGAAACTTTGCACACACCCTTCTTTCCTTTGCACGCAGTATATAAGTCGGAACGGCCCGGATCGGCCGACTATATCCTATAGCTGCCATATAACTGATTGATCGGAAATGGTATAACTTTGGTGTTTTTAGAGTTAGAAAGTTCTAATTTGACATGAGAGCTATTTTTGGCAAAACATTACGACGTGCCAAATTTCATAAGGATCGGCAGACTATATCCTATAGCTGCCATATAACTGATTGATCGGAAATGACCCAACTTTCGTGTTTTTGAAGATAGAAAGCTGGAACTTGGTAAAGATTATATATTTGGTCAGTTGATCCGACCTACCAAATTTCATTAGGATCGGCCGACTATATCCTATAGCTGCCATATAACTGAACGATCGGAAATGGTATTTGGTAGAAATATCAACTTTCGTATTTTTGAAGATAGAAGTTTGGGACTTTTTTTAGATTTTGTATTGTAATAAATTGGATTATATATTCCTATTCTCATAAGGATCGGCCAACTATATCCGATGTTTGCGATATATATCCGGTTTTAACTGCAAGGGTATATTAATATTATACTTCCCTCTCTTTCTTTCAAGCGAACGGTCGTGTTTTTTTGTGCGCACTGCGTTTTTGATAAATATTGGTAAACCGGTGTTTACATACTTTGTGAATTAAATCTTGTGAATCATAACAATCTTAAAGCCTAAACCGTATCGCTTCGCGAGTGCTTTGGTATATTTGGAATCGAATTAATAATTTGTCTAAATTCTATTCCAAGCATAGCTCAGCTCTGCTTCTTCCCCGGCTTATCTATATTTTCTGCATTTCTCTTGTGCACTCTTTCAAAGCTCCCGCTTCGGCTTCTTGTTTGGCACAGTGGTTCAAGGTATTGTGTTTTTTAACTTTTTAAATATTAATTTTTGTCTTATTAAATTAAAAAAAAAAATAATAATAATAAACAAAATGGAATTTAAACTGGTCTGTGCCATTAAGTCTTGCAACAAGACGATTTCCACATCCCAGCCTAGTATCCATTGCTGGTTATGTGAAAACGTCGTGCACGCCAAGTGTGCCGGTTTCACTGCATCAGTTTCGGATGCCATTTCCCGTAGGTCTGGGATACATTATTGTTGCGAAAATTGTCGTGCTGTGCAAGGCGAAATGAGGTCGTTCATGAGACAGACCAAAAATGGATTTAAAGAGCTGATCACTGGTTTTCGTAAAATCAATGACCAGCTCTGTGCGCTTGACACTCAATTTAGTGGCCTTCAGCTGCTAAATGAGTCCCCTAAGCGTAAGAAATCCGCTGTTTCTGATCCGCCTCAGCCTGCTCAGCCGACATTAACGCAGCCGCTTATAACTCTGGCCACCCCAAGGGCCTTAACTGAGAAAAATTCGTCAGAATTTCTCAGGGATAATGAGCAATTGTCCGATATGTCCGCCATGGCATCCCTTCAAGTGATGCCACAGGTCCTAGGGAACGAAACCCCCATTAGGGTCACCCAAAAGGGTATTCCACAGTCCGGACCACCGGCACCGACTGATGCTGCAGTTCTTGTACCTGCGACACCAAAACCCTTACAGGTGATTCCTCCATCGAAACATATATTTGTTTCTCGGCTTGCCCCTGATACTTCAGAGATTGATATCTCGGCTTATATCAAAGCCAAAACTAAAGCCGATATAAAGGTGGAGGACATACAAAAATTTAAATACAATTATACAAGGCGCACGTCTTCTTTCAAGATTCGTGTGCCCGCGCTGATGTTCAAGACGATTTGTTCTCCCAGTTTTTGGCCAGAGAATCTTTTCGTCCAAGAACATCAGCCTAGTTCCGTTAAAAAAAAAGTTAATAAACCAGTGGGAGTCAGACTTCCCAATATCGGAACCACTGACCAA